AGAAGTTTGCTGAATAGACAAGGGAAGCTGGACCAGAGACTAACCAGCACACTCCACACCAGAATATAAAGACTTCATACGCAAATGGAACCAAGATCTACTTGGTAAAATCTCTAATTCAGTTGGATCTTTGTTTTCAGGTCCTTAGTTAAATGGGACTGAATATTTCTAAGCATTTCACACAAGCTCCAAAAACAATGAGTAACCATAGATTATCTCAAAATATACACACAGCATTGAATTAAGAAGTCACACTTACTCAGACTTGCACTTGTAAATTTAAACGGAACTTTAGAGAATGTGCCTTCTATATTAAACAAAATACACAAATTAGTTGAGAGGATGGATTGCACTTTTCATGGTCCTTTAACCATCACTTATTTAAAGAGAAAATCCAGAGCAAAATCATCACAGGTAGAAATGCAAGTTTAAGGACAAATAGGGAGAAACATTGCCTTATATCTTTTCCTGGCTAATAAGGACCTTGTGAACTTCCCATTCCCTACCTTTCCACTGGATCTCTCTCATTACTATCCCCTCACTCTCCAGGAGCTTAGCACTCAATTATTTGAATGTTTAAAATATATTATGGCTATTTTTATGGTGATGCCAACTCTACTTTCTTCCACCATGGACTATGGACTTTATATCTATTGCTTCTTAAACTCTCAGCATGATTTTCTCCCTTTTATTCCTTTTACTCATCTTCCTGTATCAGTGATACTGTCATTGACCAAGGTTAGGTTACCCAACTTTCTTAATGTGGCTTAAGGGAATAGTTCCACAGCATCCAGAACCTTTCTTTCATGAAAATCCTTTCACATATTTTAGTCTAATTGTCTTCCAACTGAAGTGTAAGCTCCATGTGGCAAGGGCTATGAGCCTCTGTGCACCAATGCAATCCAGGGCCTTGCAAACTGTTTGGCCCTAGTAAGCATCCAAGTATTGTGAAATGACTGAACAAACCATTACAGGAAACATTCTTTTTTTTTCCACTTAAGGGACAGGCTGAGTTTTGTTGTTGTTTAGCTTTTCTTTTTAACATACAATGCTATTTTTTTTTTCCCAGAATCAAATTACTGGAAGCTCTCTATTATCTGATACTTCCCCCTCTCTTCAATTCTTATATCCATTATAAGTAAATAATCTCCAATGAGGAGTTTAAAACAATAATATACAAACTGTATATTTAGAATTCATATACATCGAACTAAATCTTATAGCCCATGATTTGACAGGCACTCCAGTCAAGAAAGATTTAACCACATATTCTGGGTTACATTTACTAATTTAGGAAGATAAATAACTACATGGTTCTTTAGAGTTTTAAATAAAGGCTGAAGTCCAAAGGTCTTTAGAAAGCTCCACTATCTAACATGATTTACTACATTCTGGCTAAAGGAGTTTCTACAGAAATTCAAGCCCAGTAGAAAAAAGAAAGGCCCTAAAATGTTTTATTCTCATGGAAAATTACAAATCCCTCCATCATGTTTAAAACATTTTATAGCTATTAAAATCAGTCAAATCTCCACTTCATTTTATATCCAATTCAAAATTTATTTTTTTTTACGTGTGTTAGGCCTAAGTACATGTGTATTCTATCTATCTGGCTCCTTGTTTAACTCCCTTTCTCCATAAAGTATAGGAGACTAAATTACTCTTGTCTAGCTGCAGCTCAATCCAAAATATTTTTTTTCTTTAACCTCCTATCTACTCATATACTCAAAAGCCATGAAAAAACTGGTCTTTTGAGGGGTATATTGACAAATTCCCCCATAAAAACTGATACAAAAGACCTACAATAGCATCCTGTTCCTTATATATGTGTATATATGATTGCTATGCACACAAAATTTCTATAATTTAAACTAATTAATGACAAAGGAGCCTTAGCACCACTAATTCCACAATAATCTCCAGTTGTCACTGATTGCTGCTGATTTGGCTGGAGGGCATCATTAACAAATACCTCACACCAAATAGCTTTCCTTAAAAGCTTTCCAATTCATGTGGCCCCAGATTAGGGTAAAAAAGCCTATTTGAAATATATAGTCTTAAAATAGCCTTACATATTCCCCACACACTAAGTTACTCCCAAGTTACTAGCTATTACAACATTCCTAATAGTGACCTAAATTTTTCAACTTCTATAAGAGCCCAGATGGTAAGAAAGAAATTTACCAAATTTGGATCTATGTTTTTAATAGGATGATTTTAAATAATATTTTAACAATTGTCTCAGAGTTGCATTTTAAAGAAAACTACTTACAAGTATTTGCAACTAATAGATAATTACTAAAATAAACCTAATTTTCTAATGTTCATTACCTATATTGAGAAACAAGATCAAGAAAAAATTATATATGTATATATAACACATATACATATAATAATCACAAAATGAAAATAAAGGTATTAAATAGTTACTTCTAGTCATGTTCATCTGAGAACATTATGTAAATTGTCTAAATTAATAAAAATTCTCTAATATTAGTCATATCTAATCACTCTTCATCTTAAACTGCTGAAAAATAAAACATTTTAGATCTACTCACAATAAAATATAAGACATTTAGATTCAGTTTCATACAAGATTTCTTTCCTCTATGTCCCAGGACTTTAAATGACTAGATTTATTCACCAAAAAGTAGATTCTAAAGATTCTCTAAGGGAACTTTACAAAAATAAGAATTCTGATTATTTTTTTGTGAGAATTTGGGGGAAATGAAATCAGGAAAAACATTCAATTTTGTTGAAAGGCAAAGAACCTCATCAATCATTTCAGGAGGTACAGGGGTAATAATATTACTTAGTCACTGACATCAATTAAAGTTATACATATAAAGGTGGAAAATATAAAAGAACTCATTATTTCATTTTCTTTACTTGTTCTTAACTCAATCAGTCTACTTTTCTCCCCGCCTTATCCAAATAATTTACCAGAAAAAAATGATACAAATAAATAGCTATTTTTATTATTTCACTAATTTATATTTTGTATTATTTCAGTAATTCAGAGCACATATACAAAAAAATTGCAATGTTAACACTCAGCAATTATGATGCTCTTGTTTACTTTTAAAATAGCTCAGAATTCTACATTTTCACAAAATGATACTAGTTATAGCAAGACCTCTTCTTTTTTTTCTTTTTAAAGATTTATTGATTTGTGCATATAGAACTGGGGTGCAGGCCAGAGGCTCAGGGGCAGTGAGAGGCTTCACCAGAGACAGAGTGGGGAACAGAACAGGCAGATTGACGAAGTACACTGATGAGGGGAGCAGCCGGCGGGTGAGGAGAGGTCTGTCACACCATGTGGTCACCTCTGGGGCAGGGAGGAATCGAACTCATGCAGAAGCAGCTCTAGATTTTCAGTGCTGTGCTTTAACCCGTGTGCCACCAAAGAAGGCCAACAAGACCTCTTCTTTTAAAACAATACAATTTTCCCCAACAACTTCCTTCTACCATCACACATTTTTCATAACCCTATGTGGTCTCCATAGAAGTCTTCCTTCAGCAATGAACACCCAGGAAAATACAACCCTGTGGAAAGGCTTGTGAAAGAGTCCTCTACCCTTCCTTTCTGTATAATAAGACAGAAAATACTTTCTTTAGCACAGCCATCCAACCTCTGAATGCTTTTAATACTCTACAGCAGGTACTATAATTTGCTTTTTGTGAGGATAAAAGTTAAAAGCAACACAAAAAAGGAATGATAACAAGTCACAGGCTAGAATTTTCTCCAAAATCGAGTCTTTAGATATAAACACCTTAAAAAGAAGATTTTAAAAATGAGGTAATCACATTAAAAATGAGGGAAGTGAGGTGACCTGCCCCAAGATCTTCCAGAAAGATGGAAACTAGACTCCTACACCTCTCACGCCTGTGATGAGGGCTCTTTCTACAACTTCATTTTTTTCCTCTGCTCTCTTCTTGTGTGTCTTGATTTCTGACAAATGTTCAGTCTCACTTAAGAATATCCCTTACTGAAAATAATGACTTGCCAAAGAAAGAGTTTGAGATATAGGTTATAATAAACTGCCTGGGATCGGTGGATAATTCAAGTCTTCCAGAAAATGATTCCAGCAGTATGTTTATTTATATCCAACCCTTGTTCCAAAAATAACTTGATATATTTTACAGAAATATGTAGCACACAAACAGCTAACAATAAACACAATGGGGGAAATTATTGCAAAGGATTGGAACATTTAACATATTAAAATTATTCATGGTAGGATCTCAAGGAAAGGGCAAGAAAGTATCAAAATTCCAAAGGGAGTCTCCTGGAGAAATTGTCATATATCAAGAAAGTTATTTCTATAACATGACTTACCTGCAATTATTAGTCAAACAATAATAGTGACCCATGAGATGCACTATGAAATGAAAGGAAATGTTCACAATGTTTTCTTATAAAGTATTAAAATGCTGAGTTTGAATTTCTGAAGTCCCTCCTAAGTTGGCAAGGTTAGAAAAGAGAAATGAACAGAGACAGGAAAAGGAAGAGAGAGCAGTAGAATCAGGAGCCATACAAATCCCAGACAGATTGATGCTAAGCTAGCTATCATTTGTTAAAGAACTGAATATTTTTATTGTGTAATTGCAGGCTCAAATCCGTACAACACCAGGGTTCAACTGCAATTCTGTTGTGTTATAATGCAATATAGTGTAAATAAGTTCGCTCAGCTGTTAAAATTAGAGCCCAGTTGTATAAGGGAATCATATATCCAACTTGTATTTTTCTAACAGGGTTAACAACTCATAATGTCAGCTTAAACTTGGGAAAATCAATTTTCTGAGTTTAAGCACAAAGGCGCATGGTATTTCATCACCTGGTTTAGTGTGCCAGATCAAAAGGCTGGCATAAGCCGGGTGCAGTGTTTGGGGGAGGGTAAAAGCCTAAAGAAAAAAAAAAACAAAACAAAACAAAAAAAAAAACAGTAAATGTGCTCAAAACACCAACTGTCTGGCAGGTAAATCCGAGCGGGAGCACTTACGTGCGACGTGCGGTCAGAATCTGGACACCGACTCTGGTCAAGGAATAAAGAACTCTTTCCCTGCTTTTGCTTCTTCTCAGCAGAATTCCACCCCGAGCTAAACAAGTGAGATGAAATTCAATTTAAAGGGAGAGCGGACCAAACCAAACCTTCCTGAATGGTTACACCTGCAGCAAGCCACAGTTTCCGTTTTTGGTACAGTTTGTTGAGCTTCTTTTTAATTGGAGACACCTGAGAGAGCGCGCACTAAGGCACTGGATTGGAGGGATAAAGTGTCAATGGATTGGAAGTAGCACCAGGTTCATCTTTATGAAGGGCAGTGCAGTACTGCACATATGTCGGTGTGTATTACTAACACGTACATTTTTGAAATTCTATTTTTAGGAAAATATGCTTAAGAAACCATTGGAGAGGGATGCATAAGTATCCCTATGGGGTTATTCGGTACAGTTTTACTTCTAAGAGACAAAGAAACAAAGTCCATCAAAGGGGATGACAAGTATTTTAGCCATATAGAGTAATGCTATGTTGGAATTAGAGATTAAGATGCAATATTTTATTAATATGGCACATTGTCATATAAAATAACAAAACAATGTTATAAGTAGTATCAATTTTAAGTGTGTCTGTAAGCAGGAGCAACTGCAGAGAAAAGTCTGGGTGATAATACTCTGTTAATAATCAAGACTTACTGTGCAGTAGAATGAAAAATGATATTTACATTTCTAAACAAGTTTCTCTACGGATCTTTGAATTTAAGTTTTATAAAATACGCAGGCATTCCTTTTATAATTGAAAAACACTATAGTAGTTGCTATTTTGAATATCTTTTAAAGTAGATAGGAGGTAGAATAACAAAATGTAGGGAGAAAAACAGAAGCTTGCCAAATACACCAGGTTTTCCTGCACAAAGTGCTATCTACTTTTCCAAAACAATTTGTGTTTTCACATAATATTCCACTGAGTGGTACATTTTATTGAGGAATGAGCCAAATGCATCCAAATTAATAGTTTGCTCACCTATATATTCTGTATAAAAGATCTCAGCTTATTTGATGTTTCTAATAAAAACCATCCTTTCAAACCTAAAATACAGCTAGGAAACTCAGGAACTATGCCTTCTACACTGGCCATGTAGGTGCCTCTAGTTTTTCTTCTTTCAAATGGACATGTAAAACTGTCACTTTAAAAAGTCAAAGTTCTCTTTTAAAAGAACAGAAATGGCCAAAATAACTTACTAATTACAACACATGCTTCTTGCTCAGTTGTTATTATTATTTTTTTAAGTTTCATCTAGCCTATGCCAAAGTTAAGATATCTACAAGGTCATATTATTATTTTTTTAAGTTTCATCTAGCCTATGCCAAAGTTAAGATATCTACAAGGTCAGTGCAAAAGATCTCGAAGGTCCTTAGAGAGGATCAATTCAATACTCTTAATTTTTATAGGAGAAATTCACTCCAGTAACTAAGCACAGCAGCCAGGACTGAAACTTTGAGTCTCAATCTCAATCTAATGTTCATCACTTTGTCATTTATCCCATTCCAAGATGCAACTGTAGTGTCACTTTCTATCCCCTCTGAGGATGTTTTCTTAGCTTACATTGACATGAATCAGGTTTGACATAGAGAGAGAAATGGAGAGAAAAAAGCAGCAAATCTAACATAAGATCAGTTATCTTTTCCAAATACATCTTAAGAGATAATAGGAAACACTTAAGACACTACTGCATACAGTCTACTTTTGTTTCTATGAAAGAAAGGTAAAAAGTTCAGGGAGAAAAAGTCATATGGGTCATTTGATGCCATTTTTAAAATATTTACTTTCAGAAGCACATTAGGTGTTTTTCCTTAAAAATAGGCATATTTACTCTAAAACAGATGAAAATTTTAATGAAACAACTAGAAATTAATAATCAGAAAAAGAAAACATTTCATACAATTAAACCAGTAAGAGGCAACCACATTAAAATTTCAATAGAATTCCTTCTAGCTTCCTTCACTTTTGAATGGCTGAGATCTTAATATATAAGTGAAAAGAAAATCATAAATTACACCAAACCTTTCTATTTAATGAACCCAACAGTTTATTAAAATCATTTATAAAATGCATTAGATTATGGATGTGTCAAATTTTGATGTAACATTTTTTGTTATATATGCCATTTAGAGTTTTTCTATTATAAATGATTCTGTGATGAACATTTTGAAAACAAAACTCTGATCTTAACATCTAATTGTATTGTTAACTTCAATTACTACAATGGGATGGGGCAATCACTAAGTATTAAGTATTTTCATGTTCTTGAAAGATTGTACCAAATTTATCATTCCAAGTAAAAGTATGTAAAAGTACACATCTAGTAGTGCTCTTTCAGTAATTTGTATATTTTAAGATATTTATTAGTTGCTTAGGTGATATAGATACCTCTATTTTAATTTAAATCTCTATCAATATAAAATATTGTTTATTCATTAAACAGTATATTTTTTCCTTTAACACATTTATTTGAGGTCTTTACTCAATTAACTACTGAGGAATTAACTACTACTACAATTAACTACTACTACATTTTGATTGAAGACAAAAAGTAAAATAAAAATAGAACTTTTAATCAAGCCAATGACTTTTCTGAAGTTAGAAAACCTTAAGAAAACACAGACTCCTGGTATGCGAATTAAAGGATAGATAAAATAGTAAAATGCACCTTTTCACCAAGCGTATTTTGTATGAATTCCCAATAGTTAGTGAAATGCCTGTGCAACTTTCTATAACTGCTGATTCCAATTGTTAGGTTAACAAACTATTGAAAATAAAATGAAGACCTACATGATACCTGTAGCAGACTGCATATAAATATCAGAAACATTCTTTTTTAAACTAGTACATATTGGTTCATACTGGTGAATTGAACAAACCCATTTGCCTAAACTAGTACATATTGGTTCATACTGGTGAATTGAACAAACCCATTTTCCTTCTTTCCCACTCAAAGTAGTTTCTAAATAATAATAAAGGAACTCAAAGATATAAACCTGTAACCCCAAAGAGAAAGCAAAGAAGCTGTTAAAAGCTGAGTCATTTCACCGAAACTGTGTAGTCTTGTGAACCATAGCAAAGGAAACAAGAAACTAAACAGGAGTTGCAGCGAAGGTGAAAACAGGCTTGCCTGACAGTACCCTCGGAAAGACCTAAGTCTCAGAAATAGCAGGTACAGAGAGTCTGATAAGATGGACATTAATTACAGGTCAGTGTATTAGTATTGACTGTCCCTGCTCCTGACTCTCCAAGCATTATGTTGAAGGTAATAAAAGCAAGCTTTGGGAGAACTAAAGCAGTCTGATGGGTGTTTAAACTTTAACTCTGGCAAGTTGAGATCTCCTTATTTTCACGCATCAAATATAAATTTTCACCCTTCAAATAGATTATTTACAAGACCCATAAGCAATCCTTCTAGTGTCTTATTCTTAAAGGCACAACGATAGGTCACCAGAATCTAACAAAGCCAAGAAATATCACCAAAAAATGAAAAAGCAAAACAACAGAAAACATAGAGATGGTACGAACTTTAAAAAAATAATCGAAAGTCTTCCAATATGATTTGAGGGTCCTCCTTAGCGGTAAAAGGGTTAAGTATCAGCACTCTCAAACTATCACCTAGTCTGTGAATAAATACATAATAACAATCTTAAAAAATGATTTGATATTTGGTAACTATCAGATAACAGGAAAGACTTGCTGGGAATTGTAATTGCTGGAGGGAAAAAAATCAATAGAAAGTTTGAGGGTAAAATTGGAAAAAAATTCAACAGTATATACTAAACACAGAATAGTGAGAAAAATAATCTATAGATGATTAGTGCAAGAGGCCTAAATATAGACAAATAGGAGTTTTAGAATGAGAAAAAAATAAAATGGAGTGGAGGAAATTATCAAAGAAATTACATTAGAAAAATTTCCAGAACTAAACAGAGACATGAACCTTCAAAGTATATGAAATCTGCTCAATACCAAGGAGAATGAACCATGAAGTGTTAAAGAATGGAGGTTTAAAGAGAAACTTCTAAAAGTCTTCTAAATAGATAAAAGTAAAAGTAACCTAGAATAAAAGTAAGAAACCAAGTAATGTCAGATTTAGCAGCAGCAGTGCTGGGTGCTAAAGAACAGAAGGTAAAAATGATTTTCAATGCAAAAATCTAGACCCACATTATTAATCAGGTCTGATGTCAAAATGAAAAGTTACAAACTTTCAAGGACTCAGAAAGTTTACCTCTCATTCACCCTTTCTTAGATAGTGACTACCAAAATGTGAAGGAAGTCAAAAAGAGAAAGTGCATGGGATCCAGTAAATGGAACTCTACTTTGAAGAGCAATGAATGAACCTTCGGCTAATTCTACCCAGCAGTTCTAAAGCACAACCTTTCTACATGAAAACAAAATAGTGCCCCACAAAAAAGAGGGGGAACAGATAAAACAAAGAGTGTAGTTATAAATTTGAAAAACTTGAAGATATGATTCAAGGACACAAAGAGGAAAGGCAAGAAGACTTCAGAAATTCCAGTAAGAACAAACACAAAGGGGCCCTTCCTGGTAGTGCAACTGGTTAAGGTGCAACACTGCAAGCTAGAAGCAGCCTCTTCAGTGTGAGCTCTGTCCCCCAAGGTGATCCACATGGCGCAGTAGACCTCTCCTGCCTCACCGCTGCTCCCCTCAGCAGTGTACTTTGTAGATCTGCCTGTTCTACTCCCTGCTCTGTCTCTCAGTGAATCCTCTCACTGCCACTACACCTCTGGCCTGTACCCCAGTTCTGTATGCATAAATAAATAAATTTAAAAAACACAAAGAACTTTTCTTTATAAGCTGAAATACATATGACAGAGTGCTATGATATATTTTTTAAATATCCTTTTATGTATCTGTTGTTTGTGTTTTGAAAAATTTATTGATTGATCACTAGTTTACTTAACTATTTAGTTTTGAGAAGACAGTTCATACTGCTATGTCTATATGTTTCACTCACTGTCCACAACACTATAATCTTCACTACCCTATCCCCACCCTGTCTCCACCGTAATCCCTGGTAATTAGTATATTATT